GATTAGACCATTTGATCAAAATATATTGAAGTTTTACCGTCGAGTTGATACAAATTTTATTTAAGATTGGTTTAGCGCGCGTGTAGCTGACATTTAAAATGGCCGGTCGCTTCAAGCGTTTTTTTTTGAGAGAATGGTTCATTCTATACCAAAAGTGGTAATAAACATTTTAATAACCCTGCTAATATTACTTTACTACTTTTACTTTTACTATTTACTAATAATATTAGAATTATCTCAGCTACATTTTTTAATTGGTAAATCGAATTTTTCTTTTCCCCCACGATGGGGCGTTTTAAGAATAAGTCAGGAGGTAAAAGCGACAAACATTTTTGCTTCTTTTTAGGGTTTCAATAATAATATTCTCAGCAAATTTCAGCTTGATTTTAGGGATACAATTCTGTCGACTGGACTACAGTGACAAGACGCTGAACAAAGTAATGTGTCAAGATCACCACTGAAGTTTAGAGCAAGAAAAAAATTTAATGAAAACACTACCCTTGATCTTAATCCTATTGTTTCTTTAGAGAAAGAAAATCGTTTAAAAAATTGGATAATACCATACCAAACCACTGGTTTTCCAATGAGAGTGAGATATATATATATATATATATATATATATATATATATATATATATATATATATATAAGACTCGGTTGTAGGTTTTCTTAAAGGTGTAGATCAAATTAGAAACTGTGAACAATAATTTACAGAAGAGAATTCATTGTCTTAAGAAATTGACACATTTAATTTAACACAACACTAAAATAAACAACCAAAAAGATAACAAATAAACTGAATGAAATTATAACGGTTTGACGCAAGTGCAAGAAAAATCATTAGAATACAACAAACTGTCATATGTATGTTTCGTGGACCTTAAAAAGATATTTGGCCAGGTGAAACTAAGAAGGCTATGCATTTATTCTAAACAAGAGAGATACCTCTATGAATAATCAAAAAGAGACTTAAGAAAGGGATTGTACATTCCGCATATATTAGCTGCTTTATTTTGGATAATTTTCAATGAAAATACGAGATATGTTATTATTTTACCGTTGTAACCTAATTAAAAAAAAATAGAAAGAGTAAATTTAGTCCAGTAAAACTCGAGATATTTCATCTTTTTTCTAACGCTCTACTTTGAAACTGTGTTGGTGGAGGTTTTGAAGAGCGCGACTGGCACTTTATTCGGCTAGTTCCACTCCTTTTAGTCTAGTCGGAACGAAAACTCATTAATTTTCGCAAAAACTATATAACCGACCTGGCTCGTTTTTTGCACACAATTCTGGTAAGATATAAGACCCTTCAGTTCAGGTACATTTAAACAAATTTTAATAAACAATAAAAAAGTTAAATTAACATATTTAAAAACAATGATTTTGTTGTCTATTTTTCAAAAATGTTTTGTTTATTATCAGATTTTAATCTCATTTTGAATGAGGTATCGAATCAATAACGAAGAAGATAAAAAAAAAACAAGTAAAGCTCATGATACACCCAATATAGAAGCAATCAGGTCACATAAGCTAGCAGACAAGGAGACGGAAAACAAGTTTGAAAACTACGTTAATAACTACCTAACAGACCACGCTGAACATGACTGTGAGTTAGACCAAAATTGGCAAATACTAAAAGAAGCACTCCTAAACGGTAGAAAACAAGTATGCGGAATAACAAGAAAAAACAGAAGCAAAAAGTGTACAAACTGGTGAAACAATGAAATACAAGTAGAAGTGAAGTCCAAGAAGATAGCTTGCAAAAATTATTTAGGGAACGGAACCGCAGCCAGCTACCAAATATACAAACTGCAAAGAATCAAAGTCAAAGAAATGCTACTAGCAGCGAAACGGAAAAGTTAAGAAGAATTCAGAAACAATATGAAATAAGATTACCACTCTAACGAGAAATTATTCTTTCAAAACCATAAAAAATTTAAGAACAGAAATAGCTCCACAAACACCAAAGCAAATAAGGGACAAAGAAGGACATTTAGTGCATGACAATGACCACATCCTAGATAGATGAAAGCAGTATTTTGAGGATCTACTGAATATCCAAAATGATGTAGACATCATCACAGAAGAACCAGCAGAGGTAGCAGAAACAAAAGAAATCATACAAAAGCTTAAGGAAGGTAAGGCGGCTGGATTTGATAAAATCACAGCAGAAGTGCTTAAAAACATGGGCGATAAGGTCATTGAACTGCTAACAAACGTATGTAATAGGGCATGGAGTAAGAGCCAAATATTAGCCAAAGATTGGGAAGTGAGAGTTATTCTAACCATTTTTTAGTATAAGTTTAACCAGGGAGACAGACGCGAATGTAGTAACTACAGAGGAATAACACTACTTAGCATCCCATCCAAAGTATATAAGAGAATACTAGAAAAAGTCTTTTACAAGAAGTTGATTCTAAAATGGAACAACCACAGAGTGAATTTAGAAAAGGCAGAAGCATGCAATATCACATTTTTACTATTAAGAAAATAATACAAAACGCACTGAACTCAAGCACTGAGTTACACCAAGCCTTTATAGACTTAGAAAAGGCATTTGATAGTACTCCAAGGAAGGTGATTGACGTATGTTTAAAAAAGAAAGGTGTGCAAATCAAACTCAGACAAGCCGTTATGAGTATATATAGACATACAAGGAACATAATCAAAACCGATAATATAGAATCCGAAGTGTTCATAGTAGATGAGAGTCTACAGCAAGGAGGAGTCCTAGGCCCCATACTATTTAACATTGTCTTAGATGACATAATTAAAGAAACTAGAGCAGAAACATTGAAAGTATATGCCGGACGTAGAAATCTAGAAGCAGTGTGGATCTCAGAGTGTGCATATGTAGACGATCTAGTAATATTTTGATAAATAAAGAAGCACTTAATCTAAATTTACAAGTATCGAACGCTGCACTAATTAACCGAAATTTGAGGATCAATAATGAGAAGACGAAAGTAAGGGTATTAGAAAAAATAGAAAACAAACGAAGATATCACTTAACGAAAATACACTTAAACAAATCCTTACTTACAAATACTTGGGAGTACAAGTAGAGAATAAAGGAACTGAAGAAACTGAAATAAATTCCAGAATAGAAAGTGCTGTTTGGATGTACCAAGTACTTAAAAGTACGTTTTTATAGAAAAAAGAAGTATCCCAAAAAACCAAAGTAACCATATAAAAGACGGTGTTTGTGCCGATTTTAACTTTTGGTAGTGAAAGTTGGACGCTCACTGATAAATTAAAATCGAAAATATAGAGAATAGATATGAAGTTTCTTAAAACAATAATGGATATAACCAGATTAGACAGGATTAGAAATGGGGCAGTCAGAAAACATCTTAAGGTCCAAACAATTATTAAGAAAATTTAAGAGGCCCATCTGAGATGGTGTAGACACATGGTTAGAATGAATCAAGAAAGACTAGTTAAAAAAGTATGGGAATTCAGAAGACAAACCAAGAGACCAAGTGGCAGGCCAATGAAGACATGGGGTGATAATGTAACCTCAATCCTTAAGACACGAGGAATCAGCAATGAACAAGCAAGAAACCAGGCAAATAATAAGAAGCAATAGAATACTAAAAACATTACACCCGACGCCTTAGGGTAAATAGGTTCAGAATTAAATATCTATATATATATATATATATATATATATATATATATATATATATATATATATATATTTATATATATATATATATATATATATATATATTTATATATATATATATATATCCCATTTTCTATAACTTTTCTGGAAAAGTTATAATTTGACCTTAAATCTCTAAATAGACAAGCTTTTAAATTATAATCAAAATATTGAGTTCGGCCAAAAAAATTTGATAAATCCCTAGATAGACGTCTTTTTGAATAATTATCTCAAATTATCTCATACTACACATTTCAACTGTCAAACCCTCTATACACTTTTGTCGACTGAATATCTAACTTAATTTTCGTATAAAGAATTTTATATATATATATATATATATATATATATATATATATATATATATATATATATATATATATATATATATATATATATATATATATATATATATATATATATATATATAGAAATACTGGATATTAATGGCTGTCGATATAAACAAACAACACAGTTTATTAGGGTTGCAGTCTGAATATTGGCCGGGTTGTTAAAAAAAAACTCTTTTGACTTTTTGTCGAGCTTTTGGAATGGTTTTATTCCTTTTTCAAGACACTGTAATAAGACAAATATGTAAATATTTAAAAAAATGTAAATATGTAAATTTTATTGTGTGTTATAAATGTTGAGTGTCAATGCTTATATAAATAATCTCAAGGACTAGTAAGTTACACTAAAGAATTGTGATATTTTTTAAATATTTACATATTACATATTTAAATATTTACATACACATTTACAGTGTCCTGAAAAAGGAATAAAACCATTCCGAAAGCTCGACAAAAAGTCAAAAGACTGTTTTTTTTAACATCCCTGCCAATATTCTGCCAATATATATATATATATATATATATATATATATATATATATATATATATATATTTCTGTAGATATATTTGATAGCTCTTAGCCAGATGTATTAAGTATAACCAATTTATCTTATAATGAAACGACCTTAATAAACCTGTATTTTTAGAAACTGTGTTGCCCTTCTCCTATAAAGGCGTTTGTAATATTTTTAAAATTTTGAGTCCGTTTTATAGATTGAATTTAACGTATACTTTTTCTAATTATTGAAGCCTCTAACTAATATTGATTTATCAAATTAATCTAAGTACAAAGAGGACTCCATATATTTGGAAGTTCCATATCTAAAAAAAATAATAAAATACATTATTGATTTAATATGTACAACTTTCAGTTATGCAAAATATATTGGCGAAGTTTAAATAAATAAACTAGTATAATAAATAAAATAATAAATAATAAAATATATAAAATATTTGTTTATTATTATAATAATTTCTTTTAGAAACATTAAGAATGTATCCGGTACTTCCATTTTTGGAACGGAAATGCAACGCTGATTATACCATACCAAATACGAATGTGGTAATAGAGAGTGGAACTTGTGTACTATTTCCAATTTATGGTCTACAAATGGATGAAAATATTTTTCCAAATCCATTCTCTTACACACCAGAAAGATTTAAGGAAAACTATTATAACTTACGTGGTTCATATTTTCTTCCTTTTGGAGAAGGCCCTCGAGGATGTATAGGTATGTAATTTTATACAGATGGTATGAATAGGTACTAGTGCATTATTTAACAAGTATTACATATTATAATTGTAGATATTATTCAGAATGCTGAAATTTACGCTCGCGGTTTTGTAGGATATAATACTTGATGGCGAATGGACTACCTTAGCTCTGACGTCACAATTGGCGGGAATTTTAAAAACCTTTCTATACATTAAATTTCTAACTTGTGTGCGATTAGTATTATTTGCTGTTCGTGAAATTTGGGTGAAAAAAGTATCAAAGTATAAAGATATTTACTAGCAACATTTATGTTTTAAGGTTATATTATTGTCTGATTAAAACTTAAAAAAATTATTTTTTACTGTATTTCAAGGTATTTTTTTGTTGTTTTTATCGACATAATTTTAATATTAATCAATAAATCATTGAATTTATTTAGGAGGTTAAAAAATATTTGAATTATTGTTTTATCCATTTTTAAGTTAATTTGTCCACTAAAGGACTAAATATATTCATTTTCTCATAGTTTAAATAGTTAATAGTAGTTTTGTTGTCATTACTTAAAAATTCGGTAATACTCAATAAACTCAAAAACTATAACAACATTTAAAAACATTTTTTAAATTCTCATTATGGCAATTTGGCGGAAATGTTTTCACATAATATATTACAACTTAAGCTACGAGAAAACAAATATCTTTAGTCTTTTACAGTATAAAATCACTGACAAGGAAAAAGAATAAAACAATAATTTAAATATTTTTTAACTTCGTAACTAAATTCAATGATTTATTGATTTATTTTAAAATACCCCTGATAAAAACAACAACAAAGTACCTTGAATTACACTTAAAAAATAATTAAAAAAACATGAAGATTAAGAGTACATATCTTAATAATTTTATATTCCAACCACACTAATTCATGAAGAACAAATAATACCAATCACACCGAATGAATGTTCATAACAAAAAGTCCTTATTTACTCTTTAACCCATTAAAAAAACAATATTTTCCACTTCTTATGGGACAAATATACACAAAATAGAATTTTTTGGAAAGGTTTTCTAAGCCCCGCCCATATCAGACTTAGGTAGTCTATTGTCAATGAGGTCGTAGGAAACTTAATTGTAAATTCTAAACTGTTGAATTTCTGCTTCACTAATTATTTTACATCAAAAGTCATGACCTAGTATTTGTAGAAAACTGAAATCTATACTGAAAACAAATACATACTAAAAATATCTAGGAATTTTTTTTATTATTGAGTTAATGCCTCGACAACTAAGATCATTGGCATGGTACAGTCAGGTACCTAGTGTAGTGTGTGCGTGTGTGTGTGTGTGTGTGTGTGTGTGTGTGTGTGTGTGTGTGTGTGTGTGTGTGTGTGTGTGTGTGTATGTGTGTGTGTGTGTAGAGTAATTGTCTTGATACTTAGCAAAGTCGACGTCATTGTTTTTGCTAAGAGACCCTAATTGTATCCGAACGTCTGCGGTCCCTCCGGTGAGTACCGATCGCACAAGGATAGAAATTATTTTCATTCATTAATTTTTAATAAACGAAAATTTCTCCACCCAGATGAGATTCGAACTCACGACCTTTAGGTTTAAAGGTAAGCGCTCTTACCACTGAGCCACAGAGGGGGTGTATATTCTAGGAATTAAACACTTTACAATTTTGTAAAAATAATACATTTGCAGAGTATTGCAAAAATTAGGCCACACGTAGTGCAAAATGTGTATACCCGGCTACGTTCAGTAATAGTGAAGTTGGTTGTCAATATTTTTTTATTTTATAATTTAAAAATCAATAAAGTTGCAATAATGCCGCCCGCTTTGAACTACGGAATATCAAAATAAAGTTATTGGTTGACTTTGAAATTCTAGCTGATCGGAAGTGGACACAACTTCTTCACGCAAAGTTTATACTCTCCAAATTTGGTTGTCAGAGTTACCACTCTGACAATGTCGTCCTCTCCAGGATGCACGGGCGTGATGCGTCCAACTGCCAATTGTTATGATGCCAAATATTCTATTCCATTATCGGTAGCACATTATTGCTGCTGATCAATTGATGAAGATATTCTTTATACCATCGTTTCCAGAAGTGGTGCTTCAATTTCTGGGCATGCTGCCAAGCTGATAATTTATTGGAGGACGTAGTCAAAAAGTTAGTCCTCAGATAGCTCGTCATCAAACTATTAATTAAAAAATGCCCAGGGAAAGGAGAAGAGGGTAGAAATAAGACGAGAATTTAATATTGCTTCTATTTCAATAAGATAAGTTTCTATTTGTTCATATGTTAACAAAGTATCACCTTCAGTGCAAATTAAATGATTCTTGAAGGACTTAACCGCGGCTTCCCAAATTCCTCCAAAGTGGGGAGATTTGGGCTGTATAAAATGCCAAGCGAACCTTTCAACATCCGTATATTTTTTAATGGCATTTGATGATAACCTGACGAGTTAAATAGTTCGTACAACTTGCGACTTGCTCCCACGAAATTGGTAGCGTTATCCAAATATATTTCTGCACATTTTCCTCGTCTATCACAAAATCAGAGGAAGCTAGCTAAAAAGGCTTCGGTAGTTAAGTCGCTTACCATTTCTAAATGAACGGCCCGTGTAGACATGCATACATACACTGCGACGTATACATTTAATCGTATACGATGGCGGAACCTTTTCTCCTTGATAAACAAAGAACCACAATAGTGAACTTCAGTTTTAAGAAAAGGTTCCGGTATTCGGGAAGGATGCCCATTTTATGATTAGCCTGACGAGGTTTTACGCAAAAACAAGGGATGCATCGATGTAAAATTTTTTGAGTTACATTACATCCGTCTTTCGGGCAATAAATTTGGCGCACTGAGTACGAGGTGGTTTGGGGACCAGCATGTTTTAATTTTACGTGTTCTTCACGTATAATTAATTAAGTATGGTAGTGATTAGCTGGCAGCAAAATTGTATGTTTTTGCGACTCAGATAACGACAATCAATTAAGCCTACCAACAACTCTTAAGATTCCGTTGTTATCTAGAAATGGATTCAAATGCACCAATTTACCTTTACCAATAATGAAATCCTTGTTTTTTTAAAGAATTCATTTCTTTTAAAAATTCCGAAAATTGTGTCATCTTAATTATTAAAGATTGCGAATCGACCAACTCTTGAGCATTTAGCTCGTTTAAATTGCGCTTATCTTTTTCTTATAACGTTAAAAATAAATCAACGCACATATGCAATCGCGCGAATTAATTTATGCGTCGACCTATATTTTTCTAAACTACTATCAAATTCAACAAAAGTTGCATATAATTTATTAATTGAGACCTTACCTTTTTAATTCAGAAATTTCAATCGAATACAAAATTTGTTTTGTACATAAAGACTGCGTTGGAAATAACCAAGACAGACCGATTTGCTAAATATTATTTTATAAAAATTCTGAGGGAAGCTGACCGCATGATAAAAATATGCCGGGTTGTCTAACGAGGAAACGTGTTGCCAATGACACGGACTAGTCAATCTTTGTATTTTCGCAACCCGGTTGCTGACACTCGTGCGAAGAAGATACGGCTGGGTATTTATCCAGTTAAGAGTGATTGTCGAGTCCATCCAAAAATAAGTACCGTTGACCTCCAGTAAAAGAGAATGCTGAAGCGTTGCATAGAGCTAGAAGTAAAGCGTCGCATAACTCCAATCGCGGTATCGATATTGAGATGATGGGAGCTACGCGAGATTTTGCACAAAACAATCGCACAAAAATATTTCCCGCAACATCAACAGAACGACAATAAAGACAAGCGCCGTAATCATTTTCGCTGGCATCGCAAAATCCATGAATTTACAACGAGAAAATTTTAAATGTTCGATACGTTTTTATCGAGCCTGAAATGACAACCATGAATCGTGAATTTCGAGCTGAAGTGATTCATCCCAGGTTACTCCTGATTTCCAGCACCCAACAATCCGAGTGGATCAAACATTGTTGCTATTAGCAAAACATAGAATGTTTCGTTACAGTGTCGATACTTGAAATACCCGAGCTATAAAACAAAGTCTCTTCGCGAGAATTCCATTAAAATCCATTAAATTCCAGAGACGTACAGTCTCTGTTTAATGCGATAGCTGCGAAAGGATGCGCAAAACCCTCATCTTGAGCTAATTGCTTAAGAGTCCGAGTTGACAAATATGATGCTGGAGCGCTACCGTACATGACGGTATTAAGAATATTACGTTTTAATTGGCTCTTGTGAATTTTTACGAAACAAATGTTTTTGATAATTGCGTCATTGGGATGTACGAAAATTTAAGAGAAGAATAGGAATTTATGTTGACGATAACGAAGAAGAATGACAAATAGGTCATCCTGCAGCTTGGGACGGACCATTAATGTATCATTGAGCGATATTCCCGTTGACTAGAGCTGAGTTTTAGTTCTGAGACTAATTCTTATTTTAATACTGCGTGATGAGAAAGATACAATCAAATTTCTTGGCCATTTACGTTATTTATATACGACACGTGAGTTAATTTCTCAAACTCAGTCAAAAAAGCAGAATAATCCAGTTGCAAAAGGCTGATTTTTAACGATAGTTGACCTACACTGAGAAGTTTGTAAAATATTTGTACTCCCAAAAGAGCATTTACTTTTGCGGGTTTGCAAAATTTAGGATCAGCTAACACGATATTTTTAGTTATATCGTGTTGAATAGGATTTATTTGAATCGACGGCATTTTTTTGCTGATTTATGGTGAAATCAATAATTTAACAGTTTTTTGAAATTTGCTAAAAAGCGAGTTGATTGCGGCATGCGCAGAATATGTTAGTTTAGTCGATAAATCAACTACTCCGGAAACTGTGATATAAACGGGCTTATGATCTAGATTCAAAAATTGAGCCACGGTTTCGATAATAACATGTGCTTGAGAACCAGCGTCCAAAAACACTCGACAAATTTGGCTTTTCCGCGACTGTTTACGGTATCTACCACTACGGTAGCTAATAGTACTT